AAAAAAAAAAAGCAAAAAAAATTTTACATGGGACAATTAGAAATAAAAATTGGCGAAAAATTAATAATCACTGATGCAGAAAAATAAAGCGTAAAGAAAAATTGGTAAAATAAAAGAAAAAAAAGAAAGAATTTGAGAAGTATTGGGGTGGCATTACAGGGCGAGAAAAAAAACTGTGAACAAAAAAAAAAAAAACAACAACATTCAAATTCTATTTTTTTTTTTTTGCAATAATTCTCTAAATTAAAAATAGTTGACAAAATGTATAGGTGAAAAATTTTTGGTAATATTCTATTTAGGCACAAAAAAAAAATGAGAGAGAACAGTGGATTTTCAAATAAAATAACTAACTAATCGTTGGATACCCACTAATATCAAAAAATAGTAGAAAAAAAAATGATAAAAACAACAGCAAAAAAACAAAAGGCATAATTTTATTTCTGTATTTTTTCAACTCAAATAGCATTTGGTTAAGTTTTATAGTAAAACTGTAAAAGCGAACATTATCATTGCTTTAATAAGTGAGAAAATTTTTCCTTTTAAAAAAGCACACATTTTTTACACGCTGAATCACTAAACATCTTTCCAATATACGCTGTTGCAAAAAAAAATGGCTGGTGCTGTACAATTTCTTTTCTTTTTTCCAAAATAAAGTTTTAACTTATAATTGTCACAAAAAAAAAATACCTATTATTTACTGTTTAGCAAAGAATTTCCACCTATTCTTCTCATTTTTATAGCCAACAAAAAAAAAAGACAGAGTAGTACAATTATAGATTTTTAAGAAGTTCCACAAAAAAATACTGAGCCCAGTCTTTGGTTATCTTTCATTTGGGAAGAATGTTGAAAATATAAACTTTTAAAAAGCAATAAAAGTATTCATTATTTTGTATCAGTTATATTTTACAGAGTCAAATCAATGTCTGTTTGTACATTGAAAATTCAATGTTGAATACAATAAATGAAATACTAAATGCCCAGTTTTTATCCTGAACACTATTTGAAACCTTTTTTTTTGTTTATATATTTTGCACTTCTCTCTGATCACTGTAAACTGAATAATTTTTTAACAAATAAATTTCTAACTGTTTAAAACTAACTAAATATACATTTACAGTTTAGTGATAATATCTCTTTTAAAATATTCTTTAAAAAGCAAAAAAAAAAGAATAATTTTTGTAATAAACAATTTTTTTTTGACTAATTTTTACCTGAAAAAAAAGTCAATTTTACTTAGTTTTATATTTTCCAGCTTTTTTTGCTGCCCAATTTTCTTACAAATAGACATTGAAATATGGAATACTGGAATATGGTGCTAAAAACAACTGTGTCTATTTAAACTGTAATAATTGTCTGAGATTAAAATTGGATGTAAGAATGGTTTGAGTTGAAAATAATTGTACTAAAGTTTTGGCATAAATAAAAGATTCAGTTATTTTCTTCAACAATTCAAGTTTAGTGACTAATTAAAGTGGTACTATCGCCGGATTTACCTAATTATAATAGACAAAAGAATGAGATGATGAAAATTTTGCTGACATTTTAATGCGGTTGATTCGCTGTTTGATGAAAACCGGCGCTTTTCCATATTTGACATCAGATTTTGCTGAATCGTCTCCAGAAACATGTTCAAGATTTCTGCGGCAGCAACAGCATATTGTCAGTTGCCAACAAAGCGTGTTTGCCTAAAAATTGCATTAAACTTATTTGAAAAATAATAAAAATAAGCGTCCTTAATATTGAGCCAAAATTATTTCACTTTTTTTTTTTTCTTTTTTTAACACTTCTGACGGACGATATAATTGTAAAACTTTTGTCAATAGAATATCATTTAAATGATTAGGTGTACTAAGAATATTTTTCTTTTTTTATTCTAAAGTGTTGAAACGCTTATTGAACAGTGCGATAATCAGTGATAATCCAATAACTGTTATGCAGATTTTTCAGTGAAACACTTTCAGCTATTTTCAACATTTCTAGGAAATCGAACCATTCCATGACGATGGAACAATGATGAACAATATAACATTGGGAAGTGTCGATGATGACTCCTATATAACTGCTGTACCGTCATTGGAAATATTGGCGACTGATGAGGATAGTTCATGCTATCAGTCGTTGAGCAATGAAACATCAGAAAATGTTGATCCAAATGATTTTCAACGATCAATTAGTATGAATAAAAATGGTGCTGGAAAATTGCTGTTTGATCTGAATCAATATCCAAACGATACAGTTAAAAAGAAAATGGAACGTGCTGAAGTGGACAAATTAATTGGTAAACAGTTGTTCTTAGCTGTTACTTTTTCTTTTTTTTTTATTTATGGAACTGCTGATAATGACCTGCGACACTTTTTTTTTTTTGGTTATATAACAGCAACATCGTTACTTAAAATAAAAAAAAACTTGGTCACTATATAACAGTTATGCATTTTTACTGAGGCCGACAACGGTTCAAAAACAAAAAAAAAAGAATACATCCAATCCAAAGATATTCACACAGAATGGGACATCTTAGTTAAGGGTTGTGTGATCAACTTGGGTTGAAATTTTTATTTAGGCCACAATAAGACGAGCATAATTGGTCTTTGTATTTGCTGTATAATGGTTTCATAATATTTTTGATAATATAGGTGGATTTCAGGAAATATGGATGTGATATGAGCACTTGGAAATCATTGTCTCTTTTTTTTCTATTTTTAAGTCTGACTCTTTTAGCTTTTTAATACTGTAAATAATTTGAAATTTTAAAATTATTTTTATAGTGTACTAATGCCCCATCAATCTTCTTCTTGTTTTCTCTGATCAGCAATAGCTTTAAAGATATTTTTTGAAAGTTTGAACAACTGTTTTAGGGCATTCATTTGTTTAGTCCTACCATCCCTCAGTAATTTTGCAGTATTGTCAAATATTGCAGTATCATTATTTTTTATTTGTTGGTTATTCAGATGCTTGACCGTAAAGCTTGTTTTTTAGACTTTCCGGATACCAAAAGAAAGAAGATTTTTTTTTTTTGCAGATGCAAGAAACACCTTTAGTGAATGGAAGGTGGCAACAACTAATCTTTTTAGCTAAGTTACCGTAAATAATCAGTCGGAACTATGATTCTTTGTTTATTTTTGGTTTCAGCTTACATACTTTATCTGCTGACTAAACGGCGTCACCATCCCACTGATGTCAACAGTAACTGTATTGAAAGAGTAAGTTTCATCGGTTCATTACAAATTTAATTTGAAGAAAAAAAGAAGGAAATAGAAAATTTGTTGTCAGAAAAAGGAAAACAATGATAGCACTTTTGTGGTCTTTGTTATTAAATCTACTGTTAAATACACTATTTTCTAACCATCTTTTTCGTGTTGGTGTTATCTAATTGCATTATAACTGTTTAGATGAGTTCAATTAGGGCATAGGTAAATTGAGGGGAATTTTCAGGAACCTTTCACATTTAAGAAGTTCTTACAAATGTTCCGTACAGCACGTTCAGCTAGCCCCGATAAAGAACGAAAGTCTGGTATACTGGAGGGTTTATTTAATCGAACGGAAGCTCGTTCAAGCCTTTTCACTAAAAAAAATCCATTACGTATGTTAATATTATTGTAGTGCCATTTAATTATATAGATTACCGCTTATTAGTTACCAGAGTAACTGATTTGATGGAAAATGTTACTTTCTTAAACTTTAAACTGGTGTAACTGTGTAACAGCTTAAAAGCAAATAAGCATGACACTGTAAAAAGTCTGTTTAAGCTTTCGGTCTATTACTGAATGCACTTTCATTCTCTATCGACGCTGATGGCGACGACAATTATGAGACGGCTAAAAGGCTTGTAAATAGTGATTTCAACGAGATCCTTACCACGTCAAACAACATACATTCATTCTTTAATGCTTTTATTGTATCTTATTTTGCTCTTAAAAGTTCCGCGGCAGAGCCGGCATATGTAAGTGTCTTTAACAGTTAGCATTATTGAGATTTCTAGAAACATCATTTTTCAACTTTGTTCTTTCCTTTTTTAAAAAATTGTTTTTACTTTTATCAAGGAAATATTTTTCTTTATTCAAATTGTCGCTAAATGTGGGATTTTCTTTGGTTAAATGTCTGGAACAATTTTTAGCTAGATTTATTGGACTGCATTGGAAAAACCAAACCAAGTGAGCAAAAAATTAGAAATGCTATTAACATACTGGCGCATGACGAATCAAAAACTGTTGGATTGCAAACTGACTTAGGTGGAGGATTTTTTGTTTTTTTTTTTCTTTTATTTACATTTTTATTTCAATGTTCTCGCTCTTGTTACTAGGGTATTTTGTTTGCTCTGTTGCATTTTAGCATTTTCAGCAATAGGTTAATGCAAATTAAATGCAGTTATCCAAATAAATTTTTTAGAAAATCGGAAATATCAGCAAAGAGGACGTGGCTTAAATAGAGACAGATGTACTGTCATAGAAATGAAAAGGAATGCTCGACGTGCGAAGCTGTCAGTCGATGATGGCTTTCGTAGTGAGACTGAATCCCCCAGTTTTAAATCTGACGATCTTCAAGAAGCTCCTCTTCCAAAGGTTTCTCTAAACTTAAATCACTGGAGTGAAACACACGATGTCTCTTTTTTGAATAAAATCATATTTTTTAGGCTATAGTAAAGCCCAGATCAGTTTCTCGTCATCGGAAGCTTTGCGCAAATCCTCAGCTTAGTTCAATGAGCAGCTCATCTTACTGTGATTCGAGTCAAAATACAACTAAGTCGTTAACAACTGAAAATGATAGCTTAAGTGTCGACGTTACTTCAACTTCCGACCTCTCTTCTTCCCCTGGAGTTATAAGCAGTCCTTGGTATGTAGACATTTCTTTATTTGTCAACTGGGTTTTAATCTTAATATGTAATCTAATTTTGCTTTATATTTTTTAGTTTGACGTCTACACCGCTCAAGTCCCCACCACCTCCACCACCACCACTTCCACCACCACCGGCTCTTTTATCAAGTTCAAGCATGGGATCATTGATGCTGCCTTCGGTGGTAAAATCAGAGAATACATACAAGTTAGATTTTCCTGCATCTAATTTTTTCTTAGAGAAGTTTTTCTTTTTTTGCAGCTATTTATAAATGATAAAAACAATTCAGTAACTCGAGAACAACACGTTTCAGTAAGCAGATTCTGTTAACATTATTATAGACGCATACAATCAGAAAATGTTCAGTCTAACATCATTTTAAGATTCAGGAATCGTGTAATCTTCTTTCTGTTGCTAAAATGGTACTTGCTGCCTTATTTACTTACCATTTTTATCAGAGTTTTTTAGAAAAAGCCGTGCAACAAATACTATTCACTGGGAGGCGGTTAGATCGGATGTTACCGTCAACAATCTAACAGTTTTTAGTGGTCCTGATAAGTCTGAAGCAAATTTTAGCGAGGAACAGCGAGACAGAGTACAATTTAACGTTGACATTTTAATTTCGTTAGTATGTTAAAAAGACGACTGGGTAACAACAGCAGCTTCATTTATTTATTTTTTTATAATAGCTCGGACTTGTTTTGTAGCTGGAAAAAGCGTTTGAGCGAATTAAACGAGGTTTTCATGACTCACAATTTCGGCTTGGCAATAAAGCATGTTCTCAAGTAGTTCAGTTGTTAAACGAGAAGCGAGCTCTAAGTCTGGGTATTGTACTAGCAAAGTATGTATCACCCACCTTCTTTATTTTCTCAAATAAATTTTAAAAATTTTGACTAGACTGCAGCAGAATAATTGTCTATTAAGATTTCGGCCGATAACTGTAACACAGTTGGTAAACATGCTGGAGACGCAAGCTGTTAATGATTTGGATACTGATACATTGGATACACTCTTAAAACATTATCCCCAAGATGAAGAAGTTAGCGTTTACTAGAGTTTGTTGGTATCTGTAAACTGAAGATTTTTTATGAGCTTCTAATTTAATACTTTACGTGTTAAGAATTGCTGCATATTTAAGATTAACCTGTTTACTAAATATTCGTCTCCGGAAACGCTGAAAGATGCTGAACTTTTTTGCTATTTAGCCAGTGGACATCCTCTTTTGAAACTTCGCATTGAATTAAAAGTGATTAGCGACTTTACAAGACCAGATGTTAGTGCTTTTTAATCTTGTTTTGGATCACTTATCTCTAGAACTCTAGTTTTCGTTTCAACTGCCATTAAAGTCGTCTTAAGTCGTTAAAATTAGTAAACTTTAATTTTTATTGCTTTAATCAGTGAAGTCTGTTTTCTTAAATTGTTGGTGTAAAATTATTGTGGTTTAGCTGACTCGGCAGTCGGAATGCGTTACAGCGTTGTTAACAGCGTGCAAAAATATATATAACAGCGCTAGTATTAATGTACTTTTACGTCGGTGCCTTCAGTATGGAAATTTCCTTAATCAGGTAGAACAGTTCCTGTGAACTTAGGTGTATTTATGTATAATGTTAATGTTTCTGTTCTTTGGTTTCAAACTTCTCTTTGGATTTTTATGTGACAAGTTTTTCAGTCAACATTTGCTGCTCATGCGAGTGGATTTACGCTAAATTCTTTACTGGATGTCTTAAGAGCGAAAGGTACATCTGAGAATATACGTTTAGTAGATATATTAGCGGAAATGGCTGAACCGTTGTTACGAGAAGTTGTCGATCATATTCCACCATTGAAAGCGATTAGGTTATTACAGATTAAAAAAAGTTTTTTCAGGCTCTCTTTTCTTCCTTTCGGTTTATTTTTTTTACTGTTTTGAGTATATTCATCCGATTACTACTTAAACAATTTTTTAGAGGAAGCACAGTCGAAGAGCTGGAAAAGTCAGTTGGAGCTGCGCATCGGAAAGTGAGAGGTGCGATGAAAGATTTGCAGGATTGTGGAGACGATGGACTTTGCAACTTTTACATGCCTTCCTTACGTGTATGTCTTTTTTTCTTTCAGCTCTTTAACAAGTATTTATCGCTAACAAGTATTTACCGCGGGTGTGTTTCATTAAAAACTGATTCAGGATGCATTGAAAAAATATGATTATTTGGAGAGTTTACTGAAGGAAATACGACATAAAGAAAAAGATCTACAAGTCTTTTACTGTACTCCTAATATGCCGTTGGAGAAACTGTTGATAACGTTACTGGATGCGATTTGCTTGTTCCAGGATGCTGTAACCGTATGTGTTTAAACAGTGTTTTAAGCGTATATTGACAACTGCGCACTATTTTTTTTTGGATTAAAAGTTTCATTTTTTTAAGTAAAATTATTTACGTTTGTTTGCAAGATACTAAAAACTATTATAAAAACTATTATAACCTTGATGCTTTAAGTTCAATTATTGGAATTTAGGCCGCAAAAGAAAAAGAACTACGGCGCTTAAGGCAGTCGAAATACCGAATAGTTACAGCTGCTAAAGACGGTTTTAATACACCTTTGAAAAGACGGCGCAATTATATAGAGTCACCAAATGTGAAAGATCTTGTTCAGCTGCTGGATACGACTGACGTTTAGAGATAAGTTGAAGGGGTAATAATCTTGAAATTAGTCAACCAGCCTCAATTGGGACGTTCAAAAATATTAAAATATTTTTTGTTGCCTGTTTAGTCTTTCGTTGTCGTACTTTTTTTTATATGCAATAATAGTTCCAGAAATATTTGAATTTTTGAATTCAGACAAGCTTCCTTTCATTTAAAATTGTAAAGTGCTGGACCAGGTAAAAAAAGTATTTAACGCTGCTTAAAATGGTCTTTGTTTATCAGCTTTTTTTGTGCATTTTTAAAAAGTTTGAAGTTAAATCGAATGGTCGTTAGAGTTTATTCCTACCAGAATAATTTCCTCTGGTTTATTGCATATGTAAAGTGTAACAGCGTCTTAAAAAAATAAGCTAATTTCCGCCCAGTTTCGCTGGAACTTTTTAAACAGATAGGTTAAAGTGCCTTTATTTATTTATTTATTTTTTGTTTTGAATTAAAATGGTCTATGATTTTCCTTTAAACTATTGTTTGATACATTCAGTAACTTCTTGGTATGATCAAACTGTAGATTTTTGTTTAGATCTATTGCACTTCTTCAGTACTCGATTTTCTATATTAGCATTATTAAATATTTTCTTGCAGGCAACAGATATATTGTTCTTTTCTCACTAGTTTTGTGCTGGTAGTCGACGAGGCGTTTAGTTTTATCCTCCCAGATATAAATAATATCTATGTTAAATTATTATTTTATATTTGGTTGTTGCTGTTGTATCTGGTTAACGGGTGACTAAGAGATGGAATTTGGATTAAATTATTACGGGTAAGCTTCATTAATAATTTTGGTAAAGAAAAAAATGTATGGCTTAGAAGGAAGCAATAATATCAGTGGTAATTGCAACTAGATAACAGCAGCACAGCAATAATTATCATCATTTGCTTCGTCCTCAGAATTGTGTGATTTGTTCGTTTTATTTATAAGATAGAATATTTTTTTATCTTATTTCAAAATATCATTATAGGTGTCGTTGATTTATATGCATATTAAGAGAAGGGAAAAAATAAATTTACCTCTTTTATTATCTATTTTATTTAATTTCTCACTGTGTTAATGCAAATTTATTCACTCTGTTTCTGCCACTAATGGCTAATGTTTTGTTTTCAATATTTTGTAGAACACTGAAGAAACTGTGAAAGTTTTACCTTCAACTACTTTCCTTTTTTTTTTAACGTGGATTATTGATATAAGTTGAGCAACATTTTGGATGCAACTAACAGAAACCTTTATGTGTATCCAAGGCGATAGATGCAGAAATGTTTAACCGATCTGATTTTGGAATATAAAATATTAATATATTTTTATGTGCATTGTCATTTCTTAACTCTTCTTTTTTTCTCATTGATATATAAATTGCTCATTGGCTTCTTTTTCATTATTTTTGAGGCTTCTACTTTTTATTTTTAAAACTTGGACATTAACGGTGTACATGACGATCTCTCATTTCTGCTATGTATATATTTGTACACGTCTGGAATGACTTTGAATTGGCCATCGTTTAAAGTCGTTCCTGTTAAATAAATTGTTGCCAGTCGAGAACACTTTGAAACTTCCTGCTTGTTGCAAATATTATACACTGAAAAAATATTGCTTTTTTTCTCCAGTTCGGAATGACGTGAAGAAACAAAGATTCATTATTTTTCTGTTTGAGAATGAATATATAAGCTTAGCTGACTGCCATCAGAATTTTTTGGATTTGAAGGTACTCATTGTGACCAAGGGATTTTTGGTTAGGGAGCCCTTTATAGAAAAGATGAATAGGTTTAAAGTGGAAGCCACGATGAACAGATTGCAGGATTTTTGGGTTTTATTTTTTTCTAACCCCATTATCACTTATTTCAAAGCCCTTTGTAAAATATGCGATAGCTGCTTTATCAGTTTAATTACGGACAAGACTGATAAGACTGTTAAAACTGACGAGGTTTTACATCAAACAAGGTACAACAAAGAAAGCTTCTTAACATTTCATTAATGTTTTGAGGTTGATGGAGAAGGGTCAGACACATGTTTTACTGTTGAGTATTAAAATTGTAATATCGTCATCCTGCTTCTTTGTCAGTTATTTCTGTCGACTAAATGGGCCACCAGTAATACCATAAAATCTTACCTGGCAGTCAAACATAATTCAAATTTCCCTATTCCTAATGCCCACTTAAGTAGCATCAATTGTTTTAATAGAAGTTTGAGCATTCTCAGAAATAACGGTTCAAAATGTAGTCCAATGTTTTGGACAGTCAAATACTACAAGTTATACAACTTGAAACGTAATTTTACTACCTATGGTCATAGTCAACTAAAATTTACTGGTGTAAATCAGAAAATTCAGCTGAGATGAGTAGCACCTCAAAAATATAAAAATTTCAATTCTTTAATAATTTAGTTTTTGAAAGGTCCCCTACAAAGGGGACACCAAATTTCACGAAATAAGTAGCCAAACATTATAACAGTCAAACTTTCTCGCAATCATATCTTCAAATATATGTTTCTCAAAGAGTAACAGTTGCGATACAGTTTTCTGCAATGCATTCAAAAAAATAGTCAAAATGAGAAATAGTTCCGATTTAAAATGACAGGTTTACACCTAAAAATGCAGTTTGTGGCTACCCGTACTTTTACAAAAATACCATTTCTTTACGTACGCACTAATCAAATGTGTTTACAATACACACCGTGACATCAAATTTTAAAGGCTATATACGTTTTATTTTTGACAAATGCTCAAATTTTGGATCAACAGAAGCTTTAGTTAACAACTGCGATTTATTGCACAAGTGACAAGGCGATTCTAAGAAAAGCAAAAAACTTATTGTTACAAGCTACTGCCAACGAATTTGGTTACAAAGCACTACTGCAACGATAACAGCTTTCATCAATAACTGAAAAACCAAGAATTATTTTTTCTGATAACAATACCCATCTACTTAGAAAAGTTATTTTTTTTTTTGGAAATTTCATTATTCTGAAAATATGTTCAGCTAAGTAAATAAATACTCCTTAGCTTGAAAGCAAACTGATACAGTAATTTCAAGAACGGCTAAGTCGTGGAAATAGAAACAAGTGCTGTTTTTAGAAAATCTTAAAGCATTTTTCAGGCTTTTATGTTGCCTAAAATTTGTGTTCATGGTCGTCCTGTTGCCCGTCTAAATTATCTCTAGTAGCCCAGTCAGCCTAGTGACTTGGTTCCAAACACTCATTAAGTCTGTAGTTGTTTGCATATATTCACGGTCTGAGTAATTTGACTCGTAACACTAAAGAAGCACATAGATAAATTATCTTCAACAAAAAACGACGTTCTTTTTAGTTATATTTGCTACTGCCCTTCGCCATAAAATTCAAAATTGTAACATACCGTTGTATTAGTGTGAGAGGGGTCGGTTGGGTTATCTAACTAACATCAAACTATTCTTATGCCTTAGAATGTTCTCGGAGAAAATTTCAGCAAAAAGCTGTTCTTCACATTTAGAAACAGCAACAGTGGAATTTGGTTAAAATTAGTCCCCAATTAATAAGTGTAGTCGTCTCTGAAAATGGCAGCACTATCAAGAGGATAACAGCCATCTGGGTAGCATTCGCAGTTTTTTTTATCTTCTCCATATCGTTTCCGTCGTAAAATACAAATAAATAAACGATATCTATCGTTTCAAAAGCGCCAGTGAAGGGTGTAATCAGACGACGAGGGCGAAAATGATATCAATGAAGAAAACTAAATAAAAGAAATTTAATGTCGCAGAGATATGAATGTAGCAAAAAAAGTAAATTTGATAAAAATATACAATAGAAGTAGTGATAATATCAACACTAATTATCGCTTTATTCAAAACATTCGGAGCTTTAATGTGTGATGATTACCGTTTTCTTAATGTATCCGATGAACAGGATATAAACTTTAGTAATCAACAGTCATCCTAGCACCAAAGTTTTATTACTTCTTTTTTCTTTTTACATTATTCGTATTCTTTGAGTTGTTCAGATTTAAATATTGGTCAGCTCTTACCTTTTGATATTTCAGTTAGAGATAAGGACTTGCAAAATGTATCAGTCTAGCCTTCCGCGAGTTAGTTTATCAAAAGTAAGCTTTTTAGAACCCTCATTTCTCCTCCATACTCAACTGACAATTTCCTCGCTTAAAAGTTTGAGTAGATTAAGCAATTAAACAACTTCGGTTTTTTGTTCTCTCAGTACAGTATAAGTTTTGACAGAAAACAAAAGTTACTGACTGGTATACTATAGTGCATGTGCCTGACCTAAGCTTAGCTCATTTTAAATTGTTTCCAATGGTGCCTCATCTTTTGTAGGCAATAGAAAGAATGCTTAAACAAAACTGAATTTTTAAATAATTGCTGTAAGTAATTTCGACCTGCTATAAAGTTGTATGTCAATAATATTTGTTTATTTATTTTTATCCCATTAACTAGACGAGTGTATATTACAGTAGGTTAAATAGAAGAACGTAGATCGCAGTGAAAAGGCTCTAGCCTTGAAAGAGTACCATGAATTCAATGTTTAAGCAAACTGAAAAAATACTAATCCAAGCTAGAAACAAGTGATCAGTCAATATTAGTAACAGAAACGTATTTTTAATCTTAAACATAGAAAAATTAAAAAGCCTTTGAAAAAAATGTTAAGATACGTCAAGCAGTTTACATCTTACAAAGAAAAAAACCTATTTCAACTTTGAAAAAGCAGATAAAGACAGCATTATAAACTGTTTTTTGATTCTTTTAAAACGATAGCAGTCAAATTGTCATTCGCAAACTTAGATTTGTCTGTCTTTTAGATCCATTAACAGGCTGATAGACTATGAATTATCAGAGTAAATTTTACATCCTTACTAACCAGTAATAAAATTTCCAGGGAATGATTCACTGTTTCAACTGTACAACACAAAGATGACTGCAAAGCAAATGTATAATTTGTGACCAAAATTCAATTAAAAAATAAAAAATGAATCATAAAGCCAGCAAATCAAAAAAATGGGCTCTCCTGCATAGAACTGCAAAAAATTTCGAAAAAAAAAATGGCTTAAAAAACTAAAAAAATAACCTACTATAGCAAAACCAAAAAATTGCTGGTTAGTAACAGATTAGTGGATGGTACATTAACTGCCCGTTCTCTACTGTCTTTGTTCATATGCATTCAAAAGTCTACAGTTCAGCATCAAAATTCAATTGTGCTACCAAAATTGTAAAATTAGTTTGAATTTTAAAATTTTTAAAGTATCTGTGCGATTTGCAAAATCTGTGACAAAAATAAAATAAAATCGGAAGCTGACCTTTCTTTTCAAAAATAAAAGAAAAAAATAAAAAAAGTACAATCACCTGCAGAAAACTGAAACATTTTTCATTGTTTACCAGATAGTTTTTGCTTGTTAAAAAAAAACAATGGTTCAAAAAGAAAAAAAAAAAGACATTGATTATTGGTATATCTCCACTATGAAGCACTCCGATCTAAAGTTCTCATGCGAGTGTATGCATGCATTTGTGTCAGTTTGTATGTTTTTTATATAAACAATTTGTTGGTATAATTTGCGCAGTTGGTGATATTACAAATTATGCGGACAAATCGTGTTTGGCATGTTTGAATGATGTTATCGTAAATACGCTCATCAAATATTTTACTATCACTTACAGTATTGTGCTTTTATTAAAGAAAGTATTTATATTTTGGCATTATGCCAGATAAATATATTTCGCACGGCTGTCGTAATGTTAGTGGATGTACAATTGTTCTTTAAGCTTTGTAATTTTACCAACAGAAAATTGCTGACGAGAGGAGATGTGAATGTAATCCGCAAAATATGATGTATATAGATGTTTGCGGTGTATTGTTCATTTCATAGTGGTTTTTTTCTTTCTTCTTCCCTTTTTTTCTTTCGATTTTTTGACCAATTATTTGCTAAATGTTACAACTGTGTATTGTTGACTAAAAGCTAAGGAGATGCTGGGTAGAAGAAATTCGTTAATGTTTTTCAGTAAAGTCTTTTCAGTTACAACTGTATTACGTATGGTTGTTTGCCGTAACTTTAATTATCAAGCGACAAAAAAAGGTTACTCTTTATTCCTGTCAGTTATTGAAAATTTTTATAACTTATGCTTATTGTTGCATTTGTCAAAAAACCGTCAACATGTCTATGACTATTTTAGTCCCATTTCTTCTGTTCGTTTTAATAGCTTTTTTTTTCCTAGCAAAAAAAAGTGCTATTTTCTTCTTCTGGCTTTGCAAAGCTATTTGATTTGTTTCCAACTAGTTACTTTAGTCTTGGAAAAAAGGGTTGTAAAATTCGTTTTTTTTTTCTTTCTTACTCTATTATATATTACGGCTTAAATTAGAAGAGTGCTATGGAGTAGATGATTCTTCTTAAATGAATTTACATTCTTAAACATCTGCAAATCTGGTCTTTGAATATTTGTGGTTCCATAGAAAACTAGCGTACTGCGCAGTTCTTGTCAGTGGAGTTTATAAGAAAGAGACAATGCATGAGACGGAGGGAATTGTTTTGAACCTGGAGGCAGAATCAGGTAAAGACCGGATAAGAGGTTGGAAACAGTGAAAAATTGTAATTTTGAGGTTGTGTCGTTTCTAAAGACTTCTTTCAAAACTATCTGCATCTGCATTTTAAGTGTTCATTTGGATGGAGTTTTACTGTTGGAGGTTTAGTTGAATAGAAATGTGGTACTTATGTTTAGCATTGCTTAGGAGGCTTTAAATCAGCGAAATTACAGTGAGCATTTAAACTGAGGTTGGAAATACGAGAGTTGAAACTGTCAAATGAACATTGTTAGGTGTCAACCATTACTGGTGGGGAACATCTGAATTTTGATACAGCTTTTAACCATTGCTGAAGTTAATTTTTTTTTATGTTGTAATCTTACCTGTCGGTTTTTAAATCGCTCTTTGTTGCGCGCTATAGAAAGCTTGTTTGAACTGTTTAAAAAGTATTATACAAATTAGTTTGGTTTGAAACTCTTATGTGGTACACAAAAAATAGCTGATGTTTTTTGGTTTTGTTCATATATTGAATGGAGCAAAAATTTTTTCAACAGTACTTGGTTTTTTTTGGTATGCTTTAGAATCAGTTATGGCAAGAAGTTGAACGTTAATTATGGTTAATTATTGATATTTGTTTAACATGGTTTGAACTAATATCAATACCGTAGGGTTCTGTTAGTCAGTTATTGGTGAGTTCAATTTTCTAGTCAGGGCGGAGATAGTATTAAAATTATTAAAATTATTATCAGTATTAAAATTAATTATACTTTCGTGTAACACTGTAAGTCAAGTATTTGGGGGAACCAATGAAAAAAAGTCGGTGTGAAGCATGCAAGAATTTTTGTCTGGAGCAGAGTAAACTGTTAGTTAAAGTAACGGTTTATTAAAGGTCTTGAGTGTTGGTGTTGTTAGTCTTGGAAACGTCTCGTAATTTAAACAATTTTGGAGGCCTACGATTCTGTCAATATTATCTGGCGGTATCTTATAACTTACAAGTTGAAGCGAACTTGACAAAATGCATGTTACTGGTCTTTTTTTTTTTTCAGCGGCATGGACCCTTTATCGGGTCAAAAAGGTAAACGGCAGTCAAAGTTGCTGGTCACTATGGGCTTTGAGATGAGAAACGAACAGGAAGAGGTTGTGTTGAAGCTTCACTTAATTGCTCTTTTTCTTTTCTTGTTCCTAGCGCTCTGTAAGATGTGCTTCTGATAAAGTACAGGTCAAAAACTCATCTGCATTGAAATATAATGTTGTTTAATTTATTTATTTGTATTTCTTTATTGGTAGCGGTGTTAAAAATGTGCAATCTTTTCATAATAGTGCATTACAGAAAATGGAGAATGCGTTCCTAATGGTCCACAGTCGTATAAATGGCCTATCTGAGCGGGACAGCCATGAAGTATTGATACAAATCATATCTGAATCAAAGGTAGATTAGTTTTCTAAAAATTTCTAATCTATTTCAGCGTTTGCTAGAAAATAATACATATTTGTGTTTTAAATGGTTAAAGTGATATTTCACTAATATGTGATTTATAGTCATGGTGATAATAAAGAGCGTTGAGGGCTTTCATTTTCTATTTTTACTATTAGTAGTCATTGTAAATTTTGTATTTTTTTTCGCGTATGAGATGTTACAATTTGTTCCATCTGTCTTTGCGTATTCTAAATTACCTGTTCGTCTTGTTTATTAATTGGACTTTTTTTGTTTTGCAGTTACTCCTTCTTTTTGTTCTCTTAGTAGATACAGAACGTTTGGAGTGCTTCAGAATTGAGCTGGTCATGAACAATTCAGATTGCGAGGAGTAAAACTAAAAAAGCTTTTTTCTTCTAGAAAAAAAAGTAAAAGTTTTTGGAAATTGAAAGCTTTCGCAAAATATTCACAAGTGAAGGTGAAAAGTTTGAGTGAAAGTGGTTTTTGTTGCGTAACGGAAGTCATCGACGTAGCACATACTTGGTCAGTTCCTTTGCTTAATTTGACATTTTTTTTTTTTGTAGGTGATGCATGAGTCGGCAACTGGTGGTCTTCTATACGGGTTATTGGTAGAGCCTCAAAACGCCCAAAAGGTTTTACATTTGCATCTGAGTTGAAATGCATTCTACTGATTGCTTTCGGAGTCGTATTTTGCGTCGTTTTTTAAATGTATTTAAATGTACTTTTTAAATGTACTTTTTTCAGTATTTTGCCTTGTTAGCCGTGGCAGCTAATGATGCTTGGTATTGTGCACTTTGTAATGTTAATATGATTGTTATCGAGCTCTACCCGAAACTTAGACCGGAAGCCAGGGAACAAATTTGGTTTTTTTTTCGTGAGGCAATAAGGGCGAATGTGCCAAAAATTGACAACGTTCTGAATAACTTGATTAGAACTCTTAATGATGGTCAGTGCTTAGTTTTTTAAGAATAGTAGTTTTTTTCCGATTATGGTATTTAGAATTATTGTTGTATTTTATAATGCTAATCACTATTTGAGTGACTTTTGTGTCACAGGTTTGGAGTTAAAAGACATCAAGGCAACTCTTAATGCTGTAACTTCTTTGTTGAATGCCAATTATCCATGGCTTTCAAGTTTGAGACCGAAGGCATCATTGATTCCCGTCACACTGCAGACGTTTTCTAGGTAGCTTAAAGTCATCTTTATGGCACAGTTTAAAACTAACTGGTTAATTCATCTAACCTTTAGTTGTAATTTTATTCCTTTTGTCTTAAAATTAATAATTAGCGTTTGAGCGTGCCTAAATTTTTTTTCAAAACATTCACAGGTTTATTTGTGATCTGAGTGCTTATCCTCAGTGTGATACGTTACGGAATCAGATGATTGTTCTGTGTGATTGGTTGCTTCGGGAACGTTTTCTTGATTGCGCTCAATTAGGACGTGATCTCATCTTGGTGATCATGCGCATGTCTAAAGTACCGCAGTTCGCTGTTATATGGCGTCAACTGTTTTTCGAACCTACAAAATTAGCACCAAATTTTGGTGGTAAGCTACTTTTCTATTGTCTTGTAAAGTTAATTTGCTATTTTAATAATAATTTTTTGCTGGGGTTTTGCTGTTATTTATGGAGCTTATTGTTAGGTGTTGAGGAATTAATGAGTCGGTCCTTTGCAAACTTTCAAACTTATCGAGTTTCCGTCGCAATCCAAAGAAAAATGGAATTTATTTTGAAACTGAAAGCTCCCGCTCATGAGAAGCATTTGGAATGGTTCCGCAAACAGGTTATTTTTAAATGTAGCATTTTGGTCGTTTTTTCTAAATCGTTGTGGGGTTTCTGGTTTTTATCAGAACGGTTGAAATAAGAGTATGCAATTTTTTATTGGGTTCTATGTGCTTTTAGTTCAAAAGTAAACTCCGAGCGGGGTGTGTTAATAAGGAAGTCCCCCTTTTTTAGCACTGAAGTTAATATGGGATTTCTTGGTAAAAAAGTGTTAAAAAGTATCTCGTGCTTTTTTTTTTTTCGTGGTTCTTTTCTAGTTGGTCAGTTACGTTGTGTTATACCAATAGATGGAACTGCAAGAGGATCTGTTGTGTGGTCTTGTTGTTTTATCCGATTATAAATTAAATTTTTTTGGCATTTAATATTTAAGATACTTGCATGTCGTTTTTACTTGCAGCACTTGAGCAATCCTGAGGCTGGTAATTTGCGTGCAGAAGCTATTCGATGCGCACTTTATATTCCTTTTGGTCCTGATTCACCTCCTACCGCACCTGACATGAAAGTCATGTTTATATCGTCTCTCCTTTCCGGCGCTATGGTTTGGATTATTTGTTTTATTTTATACTGCTAGTAAAAATCTTTCCTGAGGCTCGTGCTTTTAGGCAGGTGTTGAGCAGCAATGGTGCAAGTTGCAACTTTTTTGGGATTGGTTTTGCTTCGATTCGTCAAATCCTGGTGCACATTTGGCTATAGGTTACAATTGCTTGATTGAATTTTTTGGCTTTTTTGTTTTTTCGTTTAATAAGTAATTCAATTTTTAGAACCGGGTTTTTGCGTTATCAAGCATCTTTTGCACAGCCAACATCTTCTGGCAAATTCGCTATTGGATTTTCTTGTCCGTGTATGTTGACATTACTTGTCAGTTATTGCTTGCTTTTGAATATCGCTCATGATATGCGTTTTGTATTGTAAGATTTCAGGTTTAACTACAAAAATTTTTTGTTATTTATAAAGTATTTTGGCTTTTTTTCGCCATTGTTACTTTTTTTCAGATGAGTAGTGAATTGTGGCCTCCGATGCAGTCTCGAGTTGTTTCTTCTATTATTAACGCGTTTAAATCTGTAGCGGACCATAATATCAATCTGTTAGTTATTTGCTTTATTTAGCAGTGCTTATTTATTGTGCTTTATATTAATCTTTAAGTCCCTCGGGTAATATTTCAATTTCCTATTCATTTTATATTTTCAGGTCTATTTCTTCGGTGTTGGAGAATTCATTTGTTCCAAAGAATTTAAGGGACACTTTGAGGGAGACTTTTAAAGGTCTTGTGCGTTCTCCGCCACCGCAATCGCCAAGTGTTGCTTCAACAGGTCATTGGTTGTTAATAACGTTTGAGTTTTTGCATAATTTCTATAAAAACATTGCAGTGTTTTAGAAAAAACTGAATCGCCTACGCCTTTATTGGTCGATACAGACACAGAGTCTGTTGAAAGTGAATCTCGTTTATCAATCTCCGAAGTAAGCGAGTCTGCTGCTTTAGCTAATGGAAGCGCTCTTTCTGCTTTTGATGAGGAGGCCAATGAAGACGAAGAGGAGGAACATGGTTATTTTTTGATTGTTAGGACTTTTCTCTAGGTTAATTTTATTTGGTTCTTTTCTTGTAGCTAATTTGCAGCGTCTTCTTGAATATGACTTTTAAAGATTTTTGTTATCTCATCAGTTTGCAGAATCATGTATAGAGAAAATTACTGACCTTCTCCCAGCCCTTAAAGAAGAGTTCAGAGACGCAATTGAAAGCTTAGCGCAGGCATCGAATACTGAAATTGATATGAGTGATATGATGCAGAAATTGTTGTCGAATGTTTTAGAAAACGTAGTTGTCTTTTTTCTGCATGAACATCTTACTTTTATCTTATCTAATAAACAGTTATTTTTTTGGTAAATGTCTGCTTCTAGGAGGACCTGCTTGATGAGGAGCAAACAGAACTACTTGCAGAGTGTCTACTCACGATTTTCGGGAAACGTTTAAAACCAAAAAAACCGTTTCCTCCTCGTTTCAATCAGTCTCCCGAGTATGTTTTTTGTTACCATCATTCACTTAAATTGACTGTAAAAATATACATTGGGAATCTTCGTAAAAATTTGTGGGGTGTGTTCCTATTAATTTCCATTTTAAGTCCTTTTTCATTAATTGGGTCCTGGTTTCTAGATTTTTGGACGAGATCTTTAATCACCCTATTTACATAATTTTTCGCAACCTTTGCTTAACTCCTGATGGTGATGCGACACGACAACCACTTTTGTCCCTAATAGCAGAAATTTATGAGAAGTTAGCTTAAATATTTTCATTTTTAAAAGGATTTACATTTCTAATGACCGAGATGGTGGAGCTATTATAACACTCACCTCACGAATATGATTCATTGTTGTTAAGTTATTGGGGTCTTTTAGTCTAGTTTTTATTCAGGTGCTCTGCAGTTTCGTACCTGCTATTGTTCTTTCTTAGCTTGGGACTGAATGATCAAAATGATTCGTACGTATCGGCCTACACAGATCTTTGTCGCCTCTTGGAAAGATCCGTTATTGAGCAGCTGGTTAAAGATCTCGAGGTACTTGAAACTTTACAGTTTTATTCCTTTTTGTCATTGTTTTTTCTGCTGGAACTTCACAGTTTCAAGAACACTTTTTTAATCGACTTTATCAATATTTATCTTCTTCAAATTTGTCTTTTTCAAGCGAACGACTCGCTATGGAATTCTGATAAGGAAATTTACCAGTTGAGTTCAACTTTACATATTTCAATTAACTATTCACCACACTGGTTTCAGCAGTGTCATGTTGATGACTATGTGCTGTTCGGACACCTAGTGCCATTCGTTTATGCAAAATTTCCTACGGAAGCGATGAGTAGCCCTGAACTTATGAAGCTGCTTGCTGATTCAATTGACGGTCATCAAATCGCTGATATTGTTGGAGAGATTATTGAAGAGAACATATCGCTTTTCAGGTGCTGTGCTACTGCCACTTTTCTGTTTTAACCTTAATAAATATTCCATTTTTGGACTCCAATTTAGCGTGCATTGGAAAGTGCACGGCTATTAAGAAGTGGCTAAGATTTGTGGCGTAATCTATGTTTTCTTACTTGATTTTAAGGAAGGACTCCTTCACGACTATTGTTACTGCATCATACTCATGGGACACTTTGTCAAAACTAATCTTCTGGCAACTTGTACATGCTGAAAACGTACCCGTCGAATGGATGATGCCTCTTTTGCCAAAAATACAACTGAATGAGCATGCCGAGGCAGTTACGAACGTGTATATTATGCTGCAAAGGTACATCTCTCCCCACTGTAATTTATTTACAGTTTGTTCAGGTGTGATGGAGCAGCTGACTGAAGATTTTTTTAAAGGATGGATCGGGAACCGACAATGAATTTAATTAGAATATTACTTTCGAGGAGACCTCCGGATTATTTTGCAGTCAAATGTTTAAGAATTTTGATACGAGAGCAAAGCAGTGCGCTTCGAGTAGCCGAGCACGTTGGAAACCTTATTGACAAGCTAATTCAGTCCGGTGACATTCACCCATCAACTGTCAAGCAAAGGCGGGGAGCCCCAAGGTTCTGCCACTATTAGCTTTTGAACTGTTTCAATTTTTCAATTTCAACTCTCAACTTTTTCAATTTGCAGTGCTTTTTCACTGCCGTCATTTTCTTGCTTTCTGAATTTTCAAAAGTAACTTCAACAAAGAACTATAAAGAACTGTGATGGCGTTCATGCTTTTCAGGAACGTCTGTCTGGAGCATGTCTTTGCACATCTGGACAATTTTAGGCAGACGTGTTTATCCGATTCTGTCAAGAAAGAGAGGAAAGACGCTGCTGAAAGTTTTTTGACGCTCCCTCCCCTTCAGAATGCTTTTTCTTTAGCAAGAGGAGCAGAAAAGGTCTATTTTTTGTCAAGTCTCTTTACCAAATAAAAGAAATTCCCCAAGAATGAATACAGCTTCAGAAGCATTCTTGACCGTACTGCTTTTTTAGATATCGGACCTGAGGATACGCTTTAATGAATTATTTGCCGTCATTGAGATCTTGAGTGATGATCCTGGTCAAAGTTCCCGTTCTAGAAGGTATAAGACGCAAAAGAGGCTAATCGAAAATAATGATGTGAGTTCACCACATCCATTTGCTGGTGCCGTTCACACGGACCTTTGAGTAGCAACTACAAAAGTGAAAATATCCATCGTTCTTAGCAGAAAATTTTCTTATCGTGGTTGAGATGATTGCAGGATGACTCTAAGTCAAAACGACGTAAAGCAATGATTGATTCTGACAGTGATTAAACACGGGTCCGAGGCGTATTATTCCTAAATGGTCTCAGTCTAACTGTACATATGAGGATAACAAAAAGAAATCAACTACCTCTTGCATTGCCCTTACGGGAAAACCGAAGTAAGAAATTGTTTGTGAAATGCTTATTGTTATTGTAGATGATATAATCATCCACGGCTGGCCCTTGGATCTTTTTTTTTTAAAATGATTTTAGTAAGCTTTTGTTAAGAATGAAAAAAAATGACTTGGCTTAAGAAACAATGTGCGTAAGGATTTTGTTTGGGTGCTTAAATGAGCTAGTTATGCTAGCTGCAGTCGTGGCTAAGTGCGTTTTACCCTACATTCCTTGTAGTTTTATTTCAACACGTAAGGAAGTTATTTTAATAAAAGCCATTTAAGACACTGAAAAGTTGTAAAAGGTCCTCACCTTCTGAGCCCAAATCATTTACACGCATAAAGAAGACGCACTAAGTTGCTTAACTTGTTATTATTACAGGTTTTCTGTTTGTTGCTGTATGTGAAACTTAATGGTGGACAAATAATCTTACGGACAAAGTTTCACTTTCTTGTAGTGGGTCTGGAAGGGATGCATGGTTTAACAAAATTAAAGGACTGCATACTTCTTTGACAGGTGCACCAACAGCCAGTTATACTAGGAACGGCCTTACCAGGGTAGTACAAATTGTTGTTCAAAGTACTGGTAAAAATAAACTAATGTCCATTTGTATCAATATGAGTGAGAAGCAACCAGTCCGCGCAGGTCTCCTTGTTCCAATAGAGCAAATCCATTGGCTGTATCGGCTAACTTCAACACATTCATCATACTTTCTTTTTTCGTAGCGTCTAATCCAACAAAACTGACGAGGTCGTAGTCACCGATTACAGAGCATAGTGAGTGATTTAGTTTTTTATACTGCGCCAAAACTTCGTTATCCTGGAATATGTGACACCTGTAAGAGGAAATTTAAAAACATGAAAAACGAAGCTAACAGACTGGAGTTCGAAGTAGTCAAGGTGGAAAACAGTCAGACTTAGCTGGTCAAACCGTAAGAGCCTGCTTTTTAACAGTGACAGTAAACCAGCTACATTTCTTGCGGTGAAGTGGTCCAGCAAATAATATTATTCTTCACTACCAAACCAAGCAAGAGACCCAAGAAAATAACTAGGCTTTACTGGTAAATTAAAAGTGAAGTTTCAAGTACCGTATACTTACATTCAGTAGATCGGCCAGTCTCTGCAGGTCGGGTAATTGCTTGAAAAAACCTATGTCGTAAGGGAGACTGTCTTCACCAAGAAGATCCATCTTAGACAACACGTTCAGATGAGGTAATTCCAAGTTGACCATAACGCATAAGGCAGCAAGTACAACAGCTATAAATTTACCTGCATCAGTGCAGTACAGGCTGTCACTTAAATGCACTGCTACCAATCGATGTCCCCACTTTTCCATCTGAAATTTTATTATAAAAATCGGAAGAGCAGATAAATTTTGACTAAAGAAATAGAGGTAATGGTTACATATGGTAAGGAGAAAATACAAGGATTTTTAAACATGCCGCACGAATGAGCTCTGGTATACAGTCATCACTGTTGTACAATTCCAACTGACCAGGTAAATCAATAAGTAAATATCCTTCGTACCGAGAAAGCTTCTGCTTCAACCATCCCATGTTTTTTTCCAACGTATACATACAATAACTAAATAAGGAATAAGATATAACATTCACTCAGCAATTAATTCATGTTACGTTTTGCTGCACTGATACATAGAACTGATACATGCCCACAAGAGGCACTGGTGTCTAAAAAGTCACTAAAGGACAGTTCTTGGTTATAGAAGTTGATCGACCCTACATGTTGGCAGTCATAAAAGTACTCGAAATTTACAGCAAGGTGAGAGCCGCTTCAAAAATATTTGAGGTTTCAGTTCCACAAAAGTGTAAAAACAAAACGAACAAGTAGTGGTATAAGTTTAGATGCTTGCCTCCCTCACACGAATTGAAAAGAAGAATAATTTTTGACCACAGAAAATCAAATTCTTTCTGCTTCATCAACTGTTGATTCAACAAGTCCTTGTTTTAAGGAAACAGGTGAGTGGTGACTCGTTTACAAGGACTGAATCAAATCTACGAAGAAGACTCTCAACTTAAATGGTCGGAATTAAATGACAATTATGTCATAGGTAAATTTGCCGCCAAAAATATTTTGAAACATATTGAGAGGTACTATTTTTCTTGAAATGTAAAAAAACTTGTGTCTTAAAAACAGTCCTTCGTGCTTTTTCTCGACAAAAGTAAACAGAATACTATTTGTAGCAACCAAGCATTTGAAAAAACTATTTCTGAAAATTGTGCATACTCTTGAAATATACCAATGGATCAATACGTACTTCCTTACACAACTATATCATCATAATCGCTCCTAAAAGGTGATGTATTTTTAGGAAAAGGGAACAAAATAAGAACAACTTCTCAACAGTAAGAACCAACATACCGTAAGGCACCATTCGGCCCGAGTTTCAAAAATTCCATAACATCATTTACAGTGATCAGTTCTCTAATATCAATATCACACTTGTAAGGAATAAAATCGTTTGCTGGATCCAGATTGACCAGAACGCAAGGTCTGCCAAGTTGCTGTAAGAGTTGCTCCATACCACTGCAATAGGTCGATTTTCCTGAGCCAGGAGCGCCGATGACTAACTGCCCGTACATGATAGCAAAAGTTGCCTAAATACTGATAGTAATCACCAAGACGGTACCACTGTCTAGTTCTGTTGCTGATTTTAAGCATAAAACGAATAAAGAAATGTATAAGCAGCAAGAACTCTTAAAAATAAGAATCTTCTTGCTAAGCTGCTGTGCTATTTAGAAAAGTTGGAGCAGAAGTTGAAAACCCGAGGACTGATTTTCAAATTGGGGAAAAAAGCTATAAATAGAAAAAAGAAACAAATACTATACACATTGACAGTTAACCATACTTGATTTTCTTTCCGTCTGTGTTACTCGGTGAATTACAGCAGTAAACTAAAACTGGACGCTGTAAGTGCTTTGTCACCCAAATGACCACCAAAATTTGATGTCAATTGTGGTCAGTAATTAAGAACTCAAAACCCCAACTTTTCACCATTAGAAAGTTTCAGAACAAAGTCAATCTTCCTCGCTGCTGTCAAATCGCCAACAATTTAAACTTGAAAATGTTTTCGCTTCAAAATTCACTGCTTCAAATTTACTTATCGTTGAGCCATCGATTTAGACGGCGCGAAGCAATCCAGAGAGCTTTGTAGCGGCAAAACAGTGTTTTTAGACTACTGCTTGAAGCTTCTGTGAAGTTCCAGATGCTCAAAGAAGTTAGATGTACTTTCGGCAGTTTGAGACGATCGTTTATTATTGAAAAGGCTTAATCTATAATGAAAACAAAATTTAATTTCAACGCTAGGAGTGGCATGTATAGGGAACATAGATTTTGCACTCAATCCTCAGCTTTCCACTTCAGACAACCAGAACTTTCAGTTTTAAAAAATCATAATTTGGAAATTTGAAAGTTTTATGAAACTAATCCTCTTCTGAGAATACTTCAGCAGAAAAGCTGTTTTTTAAAAAATATTATTTAAATCAGTCTTTGCTTTGCTACAAGTTTCAAATAGTTTTAAAAGCATTAAAAAATATCAGTATTTTTGCCAGAGGATTAGAATAACTGCAAAATAAATAAAACTCGTTTACTGTTTTTACGATTGAAGTAAGCTGACAGGTTTTTGGAGGTATCACTACTACGCGGCAGAAATTTTAGCTGTTTCTTCACATTTTGGGGGTAGTCTAACTTAACGGTAAATAAAGTTTCTTGGGATAGGTTTTTTTCACTTTGGCAGTTGAAGATTGATACTTGAATTGAAGCCAAATCAACACGAGTCAAATTAAAAACAAAAAAGATAGATTAGAAGAGTAGTAGAAAATAGGCAGTAACTTTAAATTGAATAATTATTCGTTTCTAACAAAATTTTTGTTACTAAAACTATTATTTCTCTTAGATCTTTTTATTCACCAGCCAAAATGCTTTTAGTAGTAGATGGCAACTGTAGCGTAGTACAAGCTGATTATCTTTGAGTACAGCTGATCCTGCGGCATCGCAGCCATCTGAGAAGGTTATCTTTTATTGAAGAGTTGATAAGCAAGCAGTGAAAGCTTATGACGTCACATAGATAATTGCTGCTTTTTACAGAAAGAATGATTCTGTAGAACAACTACTTCAATTTAAGATATTTACATAGAGTTGTGCAATGAATGAGATGAAAAGGTTCAACAAAAGTGGATTTGAAAAGTGAAAAGAGGTAGTAAAGTTGAGATTTCGAATGAAACTTGCAAATCAAAATGGACAGATCAACAGTTTGATCAAACAAAGATCAACATTAAAACTGCAGAGGTTGCGAGGAATTTGCAGGATATTTATCGAACCCAACAAAAAAAAATATTTGTTTTTAGAGTTGAGATATCTGTTTTAGAAATCAAAAATATTTTTGACTTGTTTCTTTGTTCACACTCTTTTTTATTCAATTCTTCACTTTCTTAAAACAAAGGTGGCATTTTTTCTTGTAATTTTTGTTGGATCTTTTAAAGAACTGGAACTCCTCATTTTTCTGTTTTGTTTGACCAAATGCTATACCTTGTTATAAGTCTTGCTGATTTTCAGGAAATTGAAGTCTTTCACTTGGTCTCAATTATTTTACATTTGTTTTCATTTGGCTTTACCGCAGGTAGTCAGATAGACCTAAAATTTTTTAGTGACTGCAGTTTAAATGAAATAAAACTCAGTAAAGCATTTTTTACCAATTGCTTCTATTACGAGGAACAAGAATATATAAGTTCCTTAGTGAGGTTCAGTGTGCGAATTAAGCAATTCAAAGAAGTCAACTTTTACTGTGCAGCTTTTAAAGAATTTGTTTTTTTTTTTTTAAGATTGTTGTCTATAATCGTTTCAAGTTTAAGTCTGAGAAAAGTTAGTGAAACGAAGCCTTGTATAAAAAATATAAATTAGAAAAATTTATAACCACTGAATATTTTGTATCGTTTCTCATAAATTGTGTGAGTGTTCTTTTTTTTGGTTATAATCGAACAGAATAAAATGTTTTTGGCTTCAAGACCTTTCTTCATCAAAAAAAGAACAGTTTTTTTTTAAATAATCAACTCTGTGTCTTAAAATATTCAGTCAACAATTTTTACTTTTGAAAAATTTGTTAATGATAATCAAATGAGAGCTGAGAGTTTAAATTATAACTAATGAAAGATTGTTAAAGTGTCAATCGACTGTTGCGTTCCTTTTCAGTTGACTTTTTCAACAGCACTGCATTGTCAATTGTATTTAAGTACCCAAATATGCATTGAAAATTGAAGGATACAATGATTGATGTAGATGACGCTAATTAAGGGTTTTCAGAGTACTTCGACTTCAGACAGCATTTGGAATAATGCAACGCCTACAGACAGTTGAGGTCATTCGTAAGTTTATAATTAAGCATCTTAATATGTTATTTCACCGATGGTGGTACAGTCACAGAAGGCATAAATGATTACATTGGTTTTCTTCTTTTTTTTACAGTGAACCACTGTTGTCATTTTTCTGCTTTAAAAACTTTAAGAGATCAATTGCTTACTTTAATTACCATTTTATATATATCTTTTCTGTTTTTGGCTTTTTTTTTTCAATTGTACAATTGTTTTTTTCGTAAGTAGTGATTGACTTTTGTTTTCAAAATTTAGAGTTGGAGCAAAAGAAATTTTCGTATTCTCATATAACATTGTGCCGGCAACAGAAAATCATGTCATATGAATGAATATCTGTGTAATAATGAATGACATCGTGTGAAAAGCGTAGTCTGTATCACTTATAACATACAGTGCTAATTTATTACTTTTCTGATGTATATACATTGACAAATTTTTCAAATTAGTTTACATTTGAAATCTATACTTCAACAATTAATTGCTTTAAGACAAATTCTACAGAAAAATCTGATAATCTGCAATTTTAAATTAGGTTATACAGCAAAAAAATTCTTTCGTTTCAG